CTCACCCCCACCCGCCTCTCCCCCAGGGATGAGGAGATTCAGAGCAAGTGTGGAATCGACGCCACCACCTACCTCTCCTTCCAGCGGCACCTCCTGGTCCTGCTGATGCTGGTTTGCGTGCTCTCTGTGGCTGTCATCCTGCCCATCAACTTCTCCGGGGACCTCCTGGGTAGGTGCTTCCCCAGTCATGGGATGGCTCAGGAGTGTGGTGCAAGCTTTCCCAGCCTCGGGGCAAGCACTGCACTGCTGGGACAGGGAGCAGAAGAACTCCTCTGTCAGGAGCCTCCATGAGACCAGGAACCCACCAGCTGTGGGACAGGGGAACGCAAGCAGCAGGGAGCTTCCAAGGCAGTGGGGGCTTGGTGGGGACCTGGGAGATAGAAAAGGAGGGAGAAAAGACCAAAGCCACTAACGCTGCGGACACAGACATACACATCACACTGGGTTCCCTTAACCTCCTGCTTCTCTTCTTCCCCTGCAGGACACAATCCCACCCACTTCGGCCGGACAACCATTGCCAACATCCCAACGCAGTACGTGGTTCCCATGACCAGGAGGGGCTGTGGGTGCTGCTGCTGTGATGGGCACTGCGGGAGCCCCCAGGCATGGTGCTCCTCACAGCTCCTTGCCAGGGACAGGGACAGGTCCACGTGAGCAGCACGCCACTCGCGGTACCCTCCGAGTCTGTCCGCACCATGTGTGAGCACACTTGCAGCGGCCAGCATGTTGGCACTGCTCGCTGATCCCCTCTTCCCTGCTCCAGGGATCGTCTCCTCTGGCTGCACAGCATCTTCGCCCTCATCTATTTCATCCTCACCATCCTCTGCATGGCTCACCACTCCGTCCACCTGGAATACCGAGAGAATGAGAAGGTGAGCAACTGCCCCTCCTCCAGCCCTGCCTTGTTCAGCGCTAATGGACAACCCTGTGCTTTGCAGAAAGGGTGGTCCCAGGAGGTAGGGAGAGCTTTAGAAACAGCCTGGGAAAGACATGGCTGGTGTTCTCCAGCTTCTGAAGAAAGCCTGGCAGCTCAGAGACAGATTTCGCTCTCTTGCTGCCTTGTGTCTTGAGATTGAAGGTCTGCTGTGTCTGTCTGTCTGGGAGGTGGCAGCATCCAGCTGTGCCTCCGGGCTCTGGGAGTGGGCATGGAGCAGGTCTGTGCTGACCAGCCTCCAGGGTCGCAGTCGGTGCCCCGGCTCACTTCTGCCTTCCCAGCAGCTGTGCGAGCAGGGTGGCAGCGAGACATCCCACAGACCCCCAGCCTTACCCACCCCCTCCGCCCCTTCTCCTCCCCCAGGTCGCCCGGACACTGATGGTTACCCACATCCCCAAGGAGATCACAGACCCTTCCCTTATCATCAAGCATTTCCAGTGAGTAGCAGTGTGCCGCAGCCTCCCTGGGCGGCTGGCAGGCAGGTGGCAGGGGCTGTCCCTCTCCCCTCGGATCCTGGTGTCACCGTGTCCCTGTGCCCACAGCGAGGCTTATCCTAGCTGCACTGTCACCAATGTCCAGTTCTGCTTCGACGTGCGCAAGCTGATGAAGCTGGATGCGGAGAGGTGAGTGTGCGCAGATCCCTGTTACCGCTGCGGGTGGGTGTACTGCTCCTGCTCACCATGCCAAGGGGCCCAATCCATCTGTCTGTCTGTCTGCCACTTCCCGAATGACCCTCACCGCTGTCGGCTTCTCGGCAGGCGCAAAGCGATGAAGGGGCGGCTTTACTTCACCACCAAGGCGCAGAAAGAAGGGAAAATCATGATCAAAACTCACCCCTGCGCTCGCATCTTCTGCTGCCGCTTCTGTGGCTTTGAGGAGGTAGGAGGTGCGGGCAGGGCTGCGGGCAGCACACCCCCACCGTGGGCAAGGCAGAGCGTGGCAGCTCACCCGTGCTCCAGCCTGGCCAGCGCCGCACACCCCCGGCTGCTCCCGCAGGTGGACGCCGAGCAGTACTACGGGGAGCTGGAGGAGAAGCTCACCGATGAGTTCAATGCTGAGCGCAACCGCATCACGCTGAAGCGGCTTGACATGGCCTTCGTCACCTTCCAGGATGAGCGGATGACGGCTGTGTGAGTACCCCTCGTGCAAGGAGCATGGGGATGTCCCCAGCCTACTGACCACTGCTGCTGGGGAACCTCGCCGGCTTCTTCTCCAGCCAAAGCCAGGCGATGGGTCTGTCCCCGCTGCGCCCCTGCCGTCTGCACAGATGGCCACTCTGCTGGGGCTGTGGGAAGGGTGTCACAAGAAGTGGGGGGGTGGTCGTGAGCCCTTCGTCTGGACCTGACCCCTGGGTCCCTTCTCCTGCAGGATTTTGAAGGACTACAGCCACATTGGCTGCCACAAGCACCCGCAGCAGTCCTCTGTCACCACCGTGGTCAAGTCACACCACTGGGGCGTTCGCTATGCCCCTGCACCCAGCGATATCATCTGGTGAACCACCGTGGCGGGATGGAGGGAGGGGAGCGAGCAGCTGGGGGGAACCCATGACCGTACCTATGGGGAGCCCGTGCCCGTAGCTATAGGGAACCTGTGCCCATATCTATAGGGTGTTTTCCCAGGGTGGCAGGGGCTGACAAGCCCTCCTATGGCCACAGCGGAAGTCACCAGGGGTGAGTGGGGTGATCACCTCCTGGGTGGCAGGGCTCGGCCAGGCGAGGTTTGAGGTGATTGCCAGGCTCTGGTTTCTCCAGCCTGACTCCAAAGCCTTGTAGTACGGACCCCCTCCCCCATCTTTTTGTCCTGGGGGCTCTGCAGGTGTCAGTGCAGCAGCGTGGGGAGGGGGTGAGCTCAGACCAGTGACTGCCAGGATGCTTGGTGCAGGTAGTAGAAGCGTCAGGACACACAGTTTTTCTTCCATACCATGTCCGAATGATGCTTTCCTCTCACAGGGAGAATTTATCGGTCCGTGGCACATCCTGGTGGGTGCGATTCATCTTCCTTAATATCTGCCTCTTCGTCCTTCTCTTCTTCCTCACCACGCCAGCCATCATCGTCAACACTATGGACATGTTCAATGTCACACACCCTGTGGAGAGCCTCAAGGTAAGCCCTGTGCCAGCTTTCCCAAAGGGTGTCCATTTACAAGCTTATCCATGACCAAGGGAGGGCACCAACTCTATACTGGCCCAAGAAAATGAGCCATCACTGGGATCGACTTTGAGAGGCAAGGAGTGCTGATGCCTCTGCTTGCCATCCATCCCCTTCTTGTGTTTGCAGTGGCAGACCCTCGGGGCACCTGTGCAAACCTGAGCTGTGGTGCTGGTGTCCATGGGGGAGGGCGGATTGGTGTCCATGCAAGAGGGGAGGGATGGGAAGAGCTCCAGGAGGTGTTAGGAGCTGCCAACAGCACATCTCCTTCCTGCTCATTAACCTCTGAGCTGCTGGGCAGGCACAGGGGCTCAGAGTGTGCCCATGGTGCCTTTGGTTGGACTCAAGCTTTTATCTCCTAAAACAAACGCCCCTGCTTAGGGAGGGCATGCCCCAGTCTGCCCACTGCACACACTGTCCTGTGCCAGGAGGCCCAGGGAGCTGGCTTCTGAGGGGGTGTCTGGCATCTCTCCTCCTGCAGAACCCCATCATCACCCAGTTCTTCCCCACGCTGCTGCTCTGGGCCTTCTCTGTCTTCCTGCCCTTCCTCGTCTACTACTCAGCGTTCTTCGAGTCACACTGGACGAGGTACTGGGGCTGGCCCCCGTGCTCCCCTGGGGCTACAGTAGATGGGAGGAACCTCACTAAGACTCATGGGACCCAACCTGCAAGGAGGCAGGCAGTGGAGTGGCAGACGCCCCCAGAGCCCCGTGGAAAGAGCCCCAAGTCCATGCCCATTTCCTTGCCATAGCCCTGAATGCTTCCAGGCTGCTGATAAAGGCAAGTGGAGCTGGTATTAAGATGGGTCTGAAGAAGTTTGTGAAAGGGATGGTGTGATGGTGAACTAGCAGCAGCAGGGCCACAGCCCTGACTCAGCACATCCCAGCAGTGGTCCCAGCTGTCCAAGGTGGAGGTACGGGCTCAGGATGCTCAGACTCCTAGCAGCAGTAGCTCTGCCCAGCTCCTACAAAGTCCTCTCCCTGTTTTGACCCTCCACCAGCCCCCTGTGCCTGGTCTGCTGAGTCCTGCAGGAGCTTTGTCACCACCTCCCTTCCTTCTCTCAGGAAAAACGCAGGCTCCTGAACCTGTTGTAGACACCCAGCTGCCTCCTGTTGGGTGTTGACAACTGCAGCGATGATAGGAGAGGGCAGGGATGAAGGAGGTGAGAGGCTGGGTGGACAAGAGCTTTCACTCCAGCAGATTCCTTCCTGACCCTGGGAGAGGTTTTGCAAGGCCTCAGTAGATGCACAGATCAAATGCACGTGGCTTCCTGGGGTTGGGAGAAGCTCCTTGGTGAAGGGCAAGACCTGGCCCAGCCTCTCCTCCCCACTGGCTGCACTGCCTTGGAAAATGCAACATTCTTCTCTTGCCTCCCTTCTCTACAGGTCTAGTGAAAATCAGCTCACCATGCACAAGTGCTTCTTCTTCCTGGTGTTCATGGTCATCATCCTGCCCTCGCTGGGACTGAGCAGGTACAGGCCACCCTGCCGCGCTGCTCTCCCTGCTCACCGACATCCGGGCCCCTTGCCTCCCTCGATGGCCCCAAGGGGCTAAGGGCCCACCACCACTGAAACACGGCTCTCTCAGGGGAGGAAAACACTCACTCTTTAGCCATGCTAAGTTGCTCCCAGATGGCCATGGACAGAAAGCTTCCCTGCAGAATAGGAGGGGAGTGAAGCAGCTTGCCAGGCTGCCACGGCTGACTCAGGGGTGCTGGTGGTGCACTGCTTGGGGTCAGCCCTTCAGCAGACCCTGAAAGGACCAGGTCAGGTATCTGTGTAGTCCCAGCTATGGCAATCCTGACCATCCAGGAGGCAAGCACCCACACTGTGGTGGTCCCCTGTGGCAGAAGGGGCTGCTCTGGTGGTGTAGGGTCCAGAGGGTCTCACCCATGGGCAGGGGAAAGCACACACCCATTGGGTGCTCCCCGCATTACTCTGCAGCTTCTCCTCTTTCTGAGCTGCTCCTCTTCTCCCCCCTCCAGCCTGGACCTTTTTTTCCGCTGGCTCTTCGACACCCACTTTCTAGATGAGGCCAATATCAAGTTCCAGTGAGTAGCAGGGAATTCCCAACGCTCCCAGGCAAGCGGGAGTGCCCAGCGCCAGCTCCTGGTGGCTTTCTTGGCTGCCTGTCTGAGCATCCTCTTACCCTCTGCATCCCCGGGGCAGGTGTGTTTTCCTTCCAGACAACGGCGCTTTCTTTGTCAACTATGTGGTCACCTCCAGCCTGATTGGGACGGCCATGGAGCTGCTGCGTATCCCGGGCCTCCTCGTCTACACGGCCCGCCTCTGCTTTGCCAAGTCGGAGCCTGAGCGGCTCCACGTCAAGCGGGTATGTGGCTCTGGTCGCCTCTGAGCCTACACGAGCCCCGTTGCAGCAGGGACACGCTCACTGAAAAATCAGGCTGTCCTGGTCCTATGGGGAGTCTTGTGGGGATGTCTCCAGGCTTCGTGGGGGCTATCAGAGGGAGGAAATTGTGTGAGCCAGGGTGCAGAGACAAGTGCAGCCTTTGCAGTGGCAGAGGCAGTGATGATACTGTTGGTTGTGCCTCAGAGCCAAGCCTACCAATTCCAGTTTGGACTGGAGTATGCCTGGACCTGCTGCATCTTCTCTGTCGTCATGACCTACAGCATCACCTGCCCCATCATTGTCCCTTTCGGTGAGTATGATCCCACGATCCTGCTGCCCCCAGACATGCCAAGAACAGCCTGTCCCAGCCACCAGCAGCGGCATGGGAGCACCAGCTCCCCACATGGCACAGGAGGGCACCCCTGGGCATCATCCCCTGGGCCTGCCCTGCTGTCCCTGTGACCAGGGTGTCCCCATTGTCCTCCCCACAAATGGCCCCTCTCCTCCTACCAGGGTTGCTCTACATGCTGCTCAAGCACATGGTTGACCGGTACAACATTTACTACGTGTACATCCCCACCAAGCTGAATCAGCGCCTCCACGTCGCCGCCATCAGCCAGGTCGTGGTGGCTCCCATCCTCTGCATGTTCTGGCTGCTCTTCTTCTCTGTTCTGCGCCTTGGTAGGGAGAGCTTGGGGCTGCCACTGTGGAGGGTCATGTCTGATGCTTGGGCGGACAAGGTGTCACCCCAGAGTTAGGCATGGCTTGGAAGGTGGGAAGGGGGAAGGTGTGAGGGAGACCTGGCAGATGGGGGGGTGTCAGCTAGTGTTTTGGGAAGAGGGTTCAGAGCTTGTGAGACCCAAAGCAGGCACTGGCCTGGGGCCCAGCTGATGTGCAGCAGGTCCTTGGAGGCTCATATGCTGCCCCAGTGTCTCTGTGCTCCAGGTCCCACTCGCCCTGTCACCCTCTTCACCTTTGTGGTCCTCCTCTCCTGCATCATCTTCTCCTTCTTTGGCCTCTGCCTGAAGAAGCTGCAGCCACGGAAACCCTCCAGCTACCAGGTGAGTGAAGGCAGCTGCCTGTCCCATTCCCTTGCCCCACTGCTTCCCCTCCTCGCCTCTTGGGGTGCAATTGCCTTGGGGAGTCTGAGGCATCACCTGGCTGCCCCCCTGGCTTTGGCTGGGGACCCCCAAACCATCGGTTCCTCCCAGCCTCCCTCTCCCCAGATGTCTGACCAGTCCGAGGGCTCCTTCAATGATGTGGAGCGGAGCAGCGTTTCCTCCACCCCCAACTCCAACGTGAGTACCCCTCCCCAGCCCTGCCATGGCCACCCCTCCTCGCTCCCTGGGTCCCTGACCCCTCACTGCCCCGCGGGGCAGCTCTTTGTGGCCACCGTCCTGCAGGAGCCCGAGCTGAGCCTGACACCAGCAGCCTCCCCGGCGCACCAGTCCTATGGCACCATGGGCAACCACTTGGAGCCAGCAGACGACGGGGAGGACGGTGGGCTGCAGAGCTTTGAGACAGAGCTGGAGACAGTGGAGGGCGAGTACAGGAGTGGCCCCGTGATGGAGAACCAGTCCCGCTACCAGTGAGCATCCCCGCCGCCGGGGCAAGGACCAGCCGTCCGAGGAAGGAGCAGGAAGGAGCCTTCCCAGCACTGGTGGGGGCCACCCTGCTGATGGGGCAGGGGGCAACAGGACTGATGTAAGGGGGGGCCCCATCATGCAGGAGGTGGTGGGAGGCTTTGCCGGTCC